GTCTTGATATTCTGTTTTCCATTTCATTCATCCTATTGGTGAGGCTTTCTTCTGTCATTTTTAATTGGCTTACTGAGTGTTTCACTTCCTTCTTCATTTCAGCCTGAGTAGTCTTTAGTATTTCTAACTCTTTTCTGAATTCATTCAGAAGTTTATCCCTATCTTCCTTCAGTTCTTTGATTTCTTTCTGTGTTTTTTAAATTCACTGAATTCTTTCATCATGTTTATAATTGTTCTTTTGATTCCATGTCCTGCCTTATCTCTAGGGGGTTCTCATTGTACCCGGTTTTTCATGTTGTTATTTTTTCTCTGTGATTTTGACATGTGAATTTCTTTTGTAGTTTCTAATTCTTGTGTGAGACTCGAGCCTTCAAATTTAGGTCTGCTTCTTTTTGTGAACTTTATTGTGTCTTTGTGGTTTAGTTTTTGGGCATGAAAATCTGGTTCCTCTAAGCTTCAGGTTCTCTTTTTTGATTTTATATTGGATTGGTGATATTGCTTCAGGAGTTCTCACAGAGGCCCAAGTCACATGAGGATCAGATGCTCTCAGACTTTCTCCTAAGGTCTCGATCCCTCCAGGAAAGATTTTGGCCTCAGGAATATGGGTGTTGGACTGGCCTTAGAGCAAGGCCCAGGAAAGATGCTGGTCTAGGGCTGCTGGTGGCCGTACCACCCAGAGATGCAAGGGAGATGGGGGCAGGAAGAGGCTCCAAGGGCTCCTAGGCACTGCACTGAGGAACTGGGTTGGTCCCAGAGAGAGGCCTATAAGTCGGAGAATTGTTTTCAAATTTTATTATGCATATAAAATGTAAACCTTTATATTTTCCAAGAGTTTTAAAGATTTTACAGAGTCTAGCATGCCACCAATCATGTTCAGTCTAAAATACTAAGAATGATATATAAATTGCATATTTGACTGATCAAATGTATATATATGTTCAAACTTGATGTTTCCTATCAAAAAAATATTTTTACAAGAAAAATTTTTAAAAACATATAAGTAACTTTTAGTTTCTAAAACATTTATGATATTTTATTTTATCCTTTCTATTTAAATTACAGCAGTTGCAAAAATTACAGCACTTTCTGGTTCTTGTGATGGGTTTTAAGATGATCCTCTTAACATTTTATGTAGGCACACCATTACCTCCTTCTTTGGAATTGAAACTCTAAATATTTTCAGCTTCTCATATATTATTTTAGATCTGTTTCTGAAAAGCTATTAAAGAAAAGCTTTAGAATCAAAACACAATTTTGCCATATAAACCAAAGTTTAACTATAATTTCTTCTAATGCTTTTACCCTCAAATGTGTAACTAGAAGTAAGTTATAACTTGATGTCTGATGAAACTTCAGCACTACATACTTCAGGCTCTCCTTTCTTTTTCTCTTGTGTATGCTTGCCCTTGAAGAAGGCCTGCTCCCCTAGATGGAACCCACATCTGATACTGTTAGGAGAGCCAAAACCACATGTGGTTAGATAGATCATAGGCCCTAGGGGAGAACAGACTACTATTATCATGATAAATGAGCAGAGTATCAAAAGAACTCCTAATGACTTAGTGCTATACCCAGTGTTCTTAAGCACTGTGTCATCTCTCTATCCCCCAATATCAGTACTTTTAATTAATATTTTTAATTGTTTATGTTCAGAATTGTTTCATAGTCTAGGATTTAATTCTGCTTGCCACTAAAGGCAACATGAATTCCATATACTTCCAGCAGGAGGATCATGTTATTTTTTCCCTTCAATTAAAAAAAAACAAAACTTTTACTTATGTCTTACCTGCTTCATGTTTTAATCGCTCAGTAGAGGTATTGCAAACATCTTACTATGTGTATGTCAGTTTTCTTTATGATTCTTCTATCCAGTTATGAGTCAGCACTGAATGTTATAGACTCTCCATTGGGAGATCGCGTCATGCAGATAGTCTGTCTTCCCAGAACAGAGCAGAGAGCAAGCTTGGACACGCCTGGTTCTTCCTTCCAGTTTCAGAAACTGGAATTAGATCGGTGGTTCTCAGACTTAATTTGCATCTAAATTGGTCTCAGGAATATTAAAACTCAGATTACTAGACTCCATCCTGGAAGTTTCAAATTTAGTGGATCTATCTAGATATCACCATTAAAATAAAAACTATTTTTCTTTCTTAAGGTTCATCTGAGAATGTCAGAGGTGATTTATTGGTCTCTGGGGCAGCATAACTGATCAATATCTCTCCACTTAGAGAAAGTAGAGAAGAACTTTGCAACTTGCCATTAAGGGAGTCAAAGGATTGAATCACTGCCCTACAAATATTGGCTTTGTATGTAGATCTTCATGAGTACATACAAGAAGATACCTTCCAATAGTGAATATGAAGACTTATATTAATATCTTTTTCTTGATCAATATGCATTAAATTCTGAAAGTCGACAGGTCTCAGTCCTGATGGGGATTGTGAAGACTCAGTCAGCATGATCAGAAGCACTTGGCTTTAAAATGCTGTCATTCTCTTTTCTTTCTCAACAGTTAATTTTTTATAATTAATATCAGAATCTACCCAATAACTGAATTGGAGGAAATGTTCATCAATTTTGTTATTGTGAAACAATTAATGAGAAAAATAGACATATAATGTTGAATCTTAAATAACAAATCCATGCAACCACAGATCTTGTTAATTGGCTTCGTGGATTATGTAAGAGCATGGGATGGTCCTGTGAAGGTCAGTTCTTTCTTCTGGAAAGGAAACTAGAGATTGCAGGGCCTGATTGCAAAAAGAAAGCCAGGCAAGTTAGACCACTCATGGTGACCACATTCAGTACAGGTCTGAAAGTGTCACTCTGAGAAACATGGGCGCCAGAACTCTGGCTCACAGAAACCGGAATTTCTGAGGGGTTTCCAGGGCCACAGGCATTTTGGAGATGATAACAGATACAAGAGAGAGAGGGAGAGAGAGAGAGAGAGAGAGAGAGAGAGAGAGAGAGAGAGAGAGAGAGAGAGAGAAGACATACAGATAGATAGATAATAGATAAACAGATTAATAAACAGAAGTGTCATGGGAGTGTAACACTCTGTGATGTTACCCCCATTCCAAGTCTATCACTAAATTGCATGAAGGCTCAGTCAAATGATTTCCTCCTTATTAGTTCTTTTTTTTCTTTCTGTAAAGACAAAGGGTTTAGCCAGATGACTTCTTAAATACTACCTAAATCTAAAGTTCATTGATTCATTAATTCCTGCTGGTATTCATCTACTGAAAAATGATGTTTGCTCAAACTATTCAAAAGATATATGTTGGCTTGGTTAACCCTAAGACTTGGACCTAGCCACTTATCATCAAGATACACATACATACATACATACATACCAACATACATACATACATACATACATACATACATACATAAACAAAGAATAAACAAATTCTTTGATTTGGGAAAGGAAAAAAGGAACATATTTGTCTATATCTAAGCTTGACAGTCAGGGAGAATTTACCTGCAACTAAACTGTCACAGAAAAACCTATAAATGGACAATCTATCCATTTTAAACAGTTTATTATTCTGACACATTCATGTTTTTAGTCAGGATTACAGAACTGAGAAGATATGCTAAGGTATGTCACCCACACACATCTTCTTACACACATACTTTTGCTCTTAAAATCAGCTAAACATCAGAGTATCCTTGCACCACAAAGACAATATTTAAAATTTTTTATTCAAAAATAGGAAGCATAAAACTCACTTATTCTATCACTAAAAATATTAGGTGCTTCTAAAGAAATGTTATTATTTCAAAATTCTATTTCAATAAATCATTTCTTTGCTGGGTGTGATAGCTGGCACACACCTTTAATCCCAGAACTCAGGAGGCAGAGGCAGGAAGATCTCTGAGATCAAGGCCAGCCTGATCTACATAGTGAGTTCCACGCCAGCTAGGCTATAGGGAGACCCTGTCTCAAAAAACACAAAAAAAGAAAGAAAAAGAAAGATTCATTTCATTTTGTGTTTTCAGAAGAGCTATGGAGAATTACCCAAGTGGCATCACACAGCTCTACACCTGATCTGAGGAGAAGCATGAGAGAACCACTTGGAAGCTCAGGTTAGTGCAATTCTGAAGTTTCAGGGCTTGGGGGAATGTCAGGAAAACTTCTGAGAACTTACTTTGATATTTCTCTCAATCTGTGAACTCCTTCCCATCACATTTCATTTTCAAATCACACATACACATAAAATTTGAATATTAAAGATGTTAAAAAAACTCTGTTTCTTGGAGGTGTGTGTATAAACAAGATAGGCAGAAAGTTGAGAGACAGGACACGGGCATACATGGGCTGGGAGCTGAGGGGGACGGTGCAAAGAGCAACTCCGTCAACAAGGTTTTCTGGTTGACTGATTATTTCTACTTTAAAGAGCAGCGTATATTTTTATAAGTCATGTAGACCTTCAGTACACTGGACATTTAGTCTTCTGTCTTATTCTTTTTCACATTTCAAAAACCCTCCACCTCGCCTTCCTACAACTTCCTTCAAGTGTCACCCAATAGTATTGAGCTCACTTTCCTCTGGGCTCTCGTTGCTAACCAGTCAACATCTCAACATTTACCCAATAAGTCCATCTGATGTTCCTTTAACTAGTCTCACTTATAATCTTTTGAATCTTTCTCCAAGAATCTAGTCTTGACCTACAACTCTACAGGTAGCTTTAGTTCTAGAAATTCTCTTTATTGGTTTCAATTCCTTTCTAAGTTCTGTTTGTCTAAAAAAATTGTACTTCATTTTGTTCACTATGTTAGCTTCTACAAATCTGTGTTCTCACTCACTCTGATGTTAGTGGATTTGGGGACTATATTTCACCTCCGATGTTTCTCAGTTCATCCTAAACTAGGGCCATTTTAGTTGCATATTTCACAAATTATTTGAATAAACAGTTAATGATTTACTTAAGTAACCAACTCTACCTTATAACTATCAAGTGAATGGATTATAAACCTATAAGACTTCAGGGTCAATTCTATACAGCCCTAATCCTCTGTCTGACCCTCTTAACAGCCTCTTTCACCTCCTTGTTGCGAAGGGTATAAATAATAGGGTTAAAGAAAGGAGTGAGAGAAGTGTACACCAAGGCAATGAGCTTGTCTCTGCCCTCAGCTCGAATCTCGGGTGGCCCTACATAGACAGTGAAGGCAGAGCCAAAAAAGAGTGTCACTACAGTTATATGGGAGGAGCAGGTGGAGAAGGCTTTGGCACGACTAGCAGCTGAGGGCAGCTTCAACACAGTTTTCAAGATACCCCCATAAAGTCCTAAGATGAGAACAAGATTGCATGTGTTAATTACACCAATCACTGCAATATAAACCTGAGCGTGCCAGCCTGTGTCCACACATGACAACCGCATGACTGGTGCCAGATCACAAAAGTAATGCTCTACCTCTTTCAAGCAGTAGGGCAAGGTGGCAGTGAGACCACCTGGTACCAGTGCAGCTGAGAAGCCGGTCACCCATGCGGCTGCCACTAGCCGTAGCTGTATCTGTCTGCTCATGAGTGCGTGGTAATGGAGTGGGTGGCAGATAGCAAGGTAGCGGTCCAGAGCCATGACACCCAACAGGTAGCACTCAGTCATGCCCAAGGAATGGAAGACATACAGCTGGATAAAGCATGCAGCTGATGGTATGGGTGAAGGCCCGTGCAGCAAGGTGTTCAGCAAGGTGGGCACTGTGGTGCTGGCATACCAGAGTTCCAGGAAGGAGAGGACACGGATGAAGAAGTACATGGGTGTGGACAATCCATAATCTGCCTGAACCAGGATAATGATGAACAAGTTCCCTGTAAGGGTGAGGAGATAGATGCACAGGGTTCCCAAGATTGCAAGAGCCTGTGTGGTACCAGTGGTGGTGAAACCAGCAAGAATGAAAGTCTGGGTCCAGGTGTAGTTAGCATGATCCATGATTCCTGGAAATGGGAGATAAAGGCAGAAGATGACCTCAGCCTTCTTCTTGAGAGAAAAATGACGGACCTCAAGAACAAAGTATAGAAACTAGGGAATAACTTGCAGTCTATCTATTCCATTCTTTCTAGTTTATAAAGGAGGAATTGGATGCGAGAAGTCAGAAATTTTTTGCTCAGTATCTGTTGCAGACAGAGGTGGCACGGAGTTCATGTCCTCAATTCACAGACCACAGCTTGCCCTATTGCTAAAATGTGGTAACATTGCCTCAGATTCTAGTATTTTATCTCACTTCCTCACCAAAAACCAGGAATATGAGCATTCTTCTGCCATCTCTAGTGAACTGTTCCATGATAATTTTAAATATTGACTCTTACCATATACCCTACCCAAATATCAGGCATGCTGTGGGAAAAGTAAATATTCTTTGTATACTGTTAATAATTCCTTTAGAAGTCTTGGAACACAGGAAAGTTCTCATCAAAGGTTGAAGGAGGAAGGGATGGAACAGAAACAGGCGGGCACTTTGAGAACAGTTCTTAAAGCTCAGAACTGTGAGACAGGGTAACAAATCAATGAGCAGACAGGGTACATTTTAAAGGGGAGAATTCTAATGGGTGATTTGCATTAAAAATTCTACAGAGGAGAGGGAGAGCAGAGAGGATGTGAAGAAAAGCCCCCATGAGGCTTGTCAGAGGGGCTGAAGGACTATAAGAAATGCATTCTTGAAGGACTCAGATTTCTAAACTTGTCTTACCACTAACTCAAGGTGAACGTTGGGCCTGACCACTTCCTCCTCTTTAATTCAACTTCTTTTTTTAAAAAAAAATAATGAAGTTGAAAAGAGGCTTTTCATGAAGCTTCTGACAGGCCTGTGATTCTTCAGTCATTGAAAGATGTTGTGAGGTTAATGTGGAGATGGGTAGTCTGCCTCAATAGCCCCACAGTGTCATTCCCACACCCCAATGGAAATCATTCAGGAAGGGCGCAGCCATCCTGTAATTCTCTTCTCCAGCCACTCTTACCTCTCTTGTGCCACCTCTACCCATTACTTTATTGTTTTGATAACAGGAGAGCTTGTCGCTTTCTTCTTCACATTATTTTGATCCCAGGATGCTTCCTTAACTTTATTTCATGCTCCTGGAAATGTGAGTCTCCCACAGGCTCCTTAATATATGTTCCTTGGAGCTACTATGATTGCCTCTCAGTGTGGGTCCCTCTGGGGCAGGAAATTAGTCTCAGAAAAGTAAAGCAGATGAGCTTTCTCAAACAACTTTATTCAACACTAGAATCCTCACTTTGGAGTTCTGAAATTATATCCCAAGAGTTTCCCAGCTCTGAGCCACAAGAAGTTTTACAATTTCCATAGAGTTTGTTATTAGTGAAACAATCCATCTCACACTAAAGATATGAAAATACCTTCATTGGTACATGGAGAATAACTTGAACAATTCAGAAGTAAACTATACCACCTTAAAATCCTATTTGTTGGGCTGGAGAGATGACTCAGCAGTTAAGAGCACTGGCTGATCTTGCAGAGGACCTGGGTTCGATTCCCAGCATCCACATGATGGCTAAAAGTTGTCTGTAGCTACAGTTCCAGGAGATCCAAGTCGTCTTCTGATCTCCAGCAGCACTGCATGTCATGGGTGCACTTCCATGCCTGCAGGTAATACACTCATACACATAAAATAAAAATAATAAATAAAATATTTTAAATCATAATTGTTGGGAGATTTGTTATCTGTCTCTATATATCTCACTGCCTTACAACCACCATCCACACAGGAACCATTAATTTGTGCCAAGTATCTCCACATTTTTAACTCCTACCTCCTTCCTGCTCCATGGTGGCCACAATAAGCTATTCCTTGTTCAAGTCACTGCTTATCATATATCTTAAAATACTATTCTAGATGCATTGTGCTAAGTCTCCATCAGCAGGATTTCTACCCATAATCACTCCACTCCAATGTCATTCTACCTTGGACATCCTCATGAGAAAAATGTAGCTTTTCACAATGTACTTATATCCTCAATGCTTACATCAAAACTCCCTATCATTGTATGTATGAAATTCTCAAGGAATTCATAAAAATACTGTGTTTTTAGTATCTGATATTTGATATCAGCCAAGTGCTATTCCTGAGTGTGTGCATAGATGAATATGGATTCCAGATAAATAGGAGAATGACTATGTTTATCCATTGGATGCAAAGCATTTGACTCATTCATTAACTTAAATGCATTAAAATTTTTTCAGAGTAGGAGACATGGACAAAGTAGTTGACAAAATCAACTTAAGGGAAGGACGTAACCATAAAATTTTAACAAACAGATAATATTAAATGGAAAGAAAATACTGTATGCACCAATGTCATATTGGGAAACTTCCAAGTGCAGACTTGGAAACCAAAATAGAAGAATGCATTTGCTTCTGAGTGCTGATGTAACTTCAGAATGGGAAGATACTATATTCTACTACCTCTGAAATACCTGACTGGGATAGATGCTTGTAGAAGTCCTTCAATACACGACTGAACCTTCTACAATCCTAAACAAGAGACTGGGGTCTATGCAGACCCTTAAATGAATAGTGGGGCTGTCTGCAGAGTGGCAAAGTTAATGCTGTTTGAATTAACTGGATGAATTATAATGTCCATACCTCATGTTTCTCAAATCTATTATTAGTCAGACACAAATACCTAACCATAGAATAGTTGATGCTGTCTACCGTGAGGCGGCAGAGAAATATACGCTAAAGCACTGAAACTTCTGTGTGAAGTCCCAGTGTAGAAAAGATATCCATTCCTTCTCTTTCATGGCTTTGCCTTTAGGTATAGGATGCCTCTTTGCATTGGTTCATATCAGCAATGGTGCAAGAGATGTGGACAAGTCCTGGAGACTCCATCATCTCATGATTTGGAGAGAAAGTAGATTTCTAAGTTTATCTGTATTAAATCTTAACTAAGAAAAAACAGGATGTAACATGTCCCAAAATTTATAGTATCAATGGTAAAATTTGAAAACTAACTACCCTGTGTTTATTAAAACTTAATAGATGAATACTTCATAAAGCAATGAGATTTTAAGTGATTTTAGGTTTGTATTCATCTATAAATTTTAATATACTGTGTTTATATAAACTGCGTTATTTTAAAATCATGACCTAAAGTTTAGGAAAAAGACCTAAAATGTGATAAATAGGGAAGGCGACAAATATTCCTTTATGAATTTATTGACTACAATTTTAATATAACATTTTGGCTCCAGGTCTTACTCTAAGAAATAAAATGAGATGCCTAAAATACTTTATTTTAAGATATTTACTGTATGCTGAAAACAAACCCATTAAAAAGTCAACTAGAAAATATATATTTTTCAGCATAAGACAAAATTTATACTGCAGACATAATAAAATAGATTTGAAATTAAAAACTACAATGAGATATAGTCTCTTAATTTTTATATTTGCCAACACTCAAGAGTTTATAAAACTAAAATTGAAATTGAACTGTCTCTGAAAGTGGAACACATTTCCATTCTTTTTGATGGGATAAAAACAGCATAATCACTTTTGAGGAAAATGTATTCCAATTGTACGGCTTTCACACTATTATCTGAGACTTGCACTTGTATAAATTTATATTGATGTGTTAATGAAACTACATACATTAAAGTTCACGACAGTGCTGCTTTTATTAGCCAAAGGTTGGAAGAAAAATAAGCCCTTCCTTAGCGTTCTAGTAAAACTAAACACAAAATGGAACGCTGGTCTGTAAAGTGAGAAGTCACCTCCTGCAAGAAAGTGTAAATCTCTCTAAGATTTATTTTTAAAAGTATAAGTGTTCCCCTTTTCCCTTTTATATCACTGCATTCTAGCTCCCCTTCCATGGAGCCTCCCCATATACCCCTATGGCCTTTGACTTGTTTCTTGACCACTCTGGATTTTCAAATTGAAACAAGCATATCTAAAATTTCAAAGCTAGTATGCCAGCTATGAGAGAGAACATGCAACATTTGCCTTTCTGGATCTCGGTTCCTGCAATTTCATAATTTTGGTTTTTTTTTTAAGGAATTGTGCAAAACAACTGAAGAGGTTTGCACTTAATGTCGTGGATATTTACTAATAGAACTTCCTTTTGCTCTCTAATGTACTGGGGTTAAGATTAAAACTGTGAACATCCTACATGATGGAATACCATTCTTAATGCCAGTTTCAGTGTAAGTGGTATGACTGTGCCCCCTTTTAGTCCTGGCTTCTTACAGCCTGTCTTAGTAGAGCTGTCATCCGGATAGCATCATGGTAGAAGTGGCCAATAGTTACTGTGGGCACTTAGCTCCATATATTATACTAGGCACTTACAAAATGTATCCCTGTTTTAGGACAAAGTGAAATAAACAGAAATCTACATACTGACAGAGACAACCCCAATGCAAAGACTCCAATTCCCCAAAGCACCACCTGAACACTCAAAGCATAGGTAAGGTATGAAGATCTAGTAACTGCACATCTACTGCTTGTATACTTTGATAAGTACTATAGTAATGACAGCCTGAAATTTATGTTGTTAAGGGAAAGACCTAAGGCAGTTCCAAGAGATAAAAAGATGGCAGGATGAAAAGTAAAGGTGGACTGGAGTTGTGAATTGGTTTGTGAAAAATAATTTCTCCTGTTGGAGTTACGGGAGAATAGAATATCTACCTCACACTTTTGACTCAAAGATTCATTTATTCATTCACTTTTTTGTTTGTTTTTCTGACATAAATATATAACAGGAACTGTGCCAGACATCAATGGTGTTGCATCCATCACCTCTTTGAGTTGTTATACAACTACTTATGTTTCCATAGCAGACACATAAGCACCTCATCCCTCATCACAGAGTATGGACCTTTCAGAAATGGAGACTTACAGAAATATCAATTAATGTGGCTCAAACCATTCAAGTTCAAGCAGCTTCCAGTCATTTTTAGTGATGCTGCCATAGAATACAATGCCTTTCAACTCACAGTGAGTAGCCTGTATGAAATCAGGTGCAGAAGGAGAGAAAGAAAAAGATTGGAGCCCCAAACAATACACAACAGGCCAGCAGCATGCAGTATCACACCCAGCACAGAGAGAAACAGCATAAACTTACTGAAGAAGGTTATGTAAGGAGGGCTTCAGACACTTGGCTCTAAAGAAGATGCTTTATTGGGCACCACAAGTGTACTAATTGTACATGTGACACAAGTGAGAGATATGTGTAAAGCTAAACATTATCAGGGAAATAAATTGTTACTGCAAAAATGGATATGGAATACATTTGATGATAATCATGTATGTAGTTTGTAAGGTCCTATTACTGAACCCATTTTACAGATCAAGAAAATATAGGCAGAGAGAACTTAAACGCATTGTCTAAGGTCATAAAGCAAGTGAACAGTAGAAATAAGCTCTGACTCCTGAATGCGAGAAGCTTTCAATACAGCTCTAATTACTACTATGAGATAACAAGGCAAATTTGTCTACTATTTATTGGTATTTTCATCGAGTTTTTAGAATATTCTGTTATAGATTCTTATCAAAATTAAACTGAAGTCAGAAGGAATTTACGATTATTTTTGGCCAAAAAGTAGAAAAACTTGGAATTGAATAATACATTTTATGTTCTTCAGAATATTCAGAACATACTCCGTTAGGCCTAGTTCAGGCCCTGCTTTCTTTAAAACGTGTTGCAATCTTGGAATCAAAACTGCCTCAGCTGGAAGGACTGTGAGCAGTCATCCATGCCAGTCTCTCATCCTGCACACAGATATGAGGGTGAGGAGGCCTGGCCAAGTTCAGCCAGACATCTGGTTTTGAATCTGGGTCATGACAGCAATTCCAGTAATCCTTCTAAATTTATTGTGAAAATACTGGAACAATTCTTCCTTGGTCAGAGGACAGTTGTTATCCCAGCATCTGGTAGGATGAGGAAGGAGTGCTATGAATTTAATTCCAGCCTGGATTATGTAATGACTCTAAGCCTACCTGGAGTGCAGAGTGAGACCTTATCTCAACTCATAGGCACACAAACACATACATACATACATACATACATACATACATACATACATACATACATACAGCTTGTTTATGAAAACGATAATCAGTGATTCTGGCACAGGAGAGATTTAAAAAAATGTTTTAACTGATTTTTGTAGTGGAAGACACACAAGAAAGAGAAGAGTGAAAAGCATTCATCCAGTACCTGTCTTTGTTAACGTTTTAGATCTGTCTTTCTGATTCCCAGACTAACCTTTGGAAGACATCTGATGGACCTGAATTTGCAGATTTCTAAAGTGTAGAGACTGAAGTAGATCAGGACTCAGGCCCGCCCTCAAATTTCTACTGTGCTTATTTTTTCTATTCTCTAAATGCATACCCTTCCTATGAGATTTCTAAAGGGTATTTGTTTGCTCCTCTTTAAAAAATCTATTCTAAGGGAAAAAATCCCATGACCCTGAAAGAGAGCTCAGACAACATTCTCAACTCCAATACACTACCTTTGCCCCAGAAGAAAGTAAGTTAGCACCTCTACCCTTTAGTCACCTGCCTGATAGTTAAACCAAACTGAATTGCCTTCAGTAATAGGATAAATAAAAAAAATAAAGAATCACTGGATTCCATGAGGGTGTAGGCGTCTACTGGCTCCCTTCTCCATATGAAACATTGCAGGCTATAATCGGGTTTTTTTCTGTTAACCTTGCTTTGTGCCTTTTATTCTTTCTGCAGGGATCTTGTAGTGAATATAGTGGCTGCTCCTCCCTTTAGTTGGTCTTTATTTCACTGTTTCAATGTCCTGTTAAGTTATACATTCAGCTAAAACATTTGCTCTATGTCTGGTGTTATCTGCTCTGGATTTCTTCATCATCAGCTCAGGAAAAACTCAGAGAACAAGATTCCTTTCTATCTAACTCTTCTACCTCTGGCAAGTCCACAAGTGGATATTTGCAGGATAATGACTAATAAATTGGATGATTATTTTATTGGCATTAACAAAATGATTAGCCAACCAGTTGCATGTGGGTAATGACAAAAGAGAAGATCAAGGTTCCCGTAATACAGTTCTGAACTTGTCAGTGACCCTTTTCCCAGCTTCCTTCACCTCCTTGTTGCGAAGGGAATAGATGATAGGGTTGAGGAAAGGAGTAAGGAGGGTGTACACTAAAGCAATCAGCTTGTCAGTACCCTCAGGTCTGCCACCAGGTGAGCCCACATACACTGTGAAGGCAGAGGCATAGAAGAGTGCCACTACTGTCATGTGGGATGAACATGTGGAGAACGCCTTGGCACGACTGGTAGCTGAGGGCAGTTTCATTACAGCTGTCAAAATGCCCCCATAGAGTCCCAAGATGAGCACAAAGTTGCACCCAGTGGCCAGACCAATCACTGCCCCGTGGACCTGAGCATGCCAGCCTGTGTCTACACAGGACAACCGCATTAGTGGTGCCAAGTCACAAAAGTAATGAGCTACCTCTTTCAAACAGTAGGGCAAAGTGGCAGTGAGGCTGGCAGGCACAAGTGCAGCTGAGAAGCCAGCCACCCAAGTGGCTCCTGCTAGCCATATCTGTATCTGTCTGCTCATGAGTGTGTGGTAGTGGAGCGGACGGCAGATGGCAAGGTAGCGGTCCAGAGCCATGACACCCAACAAGTAGCACTCGGTCATGCCCAAGGAATGGAAGGCATACAGCTGGATAAAGCATGCAGCTGATGGGATGGGTGAAGGCCCGTGCAGCAGGGTGTTCAGCAGGGTGGGCACTGTGGTGCTGACATACCAGAGTTCCAGGAAGGAGAGGACACTGATGAAGAAGTACATGGGTGTGGACAGTCCAGAATCTTCCTGAACCAGGATAATGATGAACAAGTTCCCTGCAAGGGTGAGGAGATAGATGCACAGGGTTCCCAGGAAAGCAACAGGTCGTAGGCTTCCAGAGGTGTTGAAACCATCAAGGATGAAAGTCTGGGTCCAAGTATGGTTGCCATGATCCATGATTTACAGGAGGGGGGATTAAGGCATAAGATGAACTCCCTCACGGTTGTCTATCTCTTCAGGAAATATTTCTAATGCCAAGGAGAGCAAATGCAAGCCTCTAGATAAACTTGAACATTAGCTGATAAATCCTCTATGATACGAAAGCAAACCTGCAGCCCCAAAGGTAAAATGACATCTGTAGCAAGAAAGGCTGCAACTAGAAACCAAGCCTCCTGACCCAAGTTTATCCTTACATATATTCTAATGCTGAACTCCAGTGAATCAAACAACTGTATTCTCCCCTAACCAACTATCAAATTATAAAAGAGAGAAAATTTCTTATCTCTTCTATGGTCTCTATTCTTCCTGGGGAACCCATGTCTCTAGTTCCCAATAATAAATAACCAGCAATATTAGGCTGTAGTAAAATAGAAAAGGTATCTAAAAGTGACATTGTGACTTCTTTCAGGAAGCCTTCTTGGCATGCATAGACTATTCTAGTAAGAATAAGTACATGAAGGCATAAGAAGGTTACAGAAGCTCTGAGAAAAATCTCTAAAGTATCAAGCCTCAGTGCCTGGTAACTCTTCACCCCACTTTTACCCTGCACCTTCTACAAGTTGATCCAAAAAAAATGACAGGTACCAGGAACTCTCAAAGAAGAAATCCATGAGTCAGACCTCAATGTAAGAAAGTCTCCTCTGAAGTTTGGAACTGGCTGTGTGCACTTCTGACGCTCACCAGCCATGCATGCTGGACTGAGAAATTTTCACATAATGTCTACTTTCTTTGCCCTAAAATTAAAATTAAGTAAAAGATTTAGTACCTGGTTTCTAAAACTCTTACAAAACAAGCTGTGTTGCTCTTAGGTTATTGGAAAATGGTTGTGAGTTTTGTGGGTATCAATATCAAGACTGCCTGAGTTTTCCTCCCACACCCTGAGGGCTCACCAAGAAATGTCAACGTCAAAGCCTTCTTCTAATTCCCTTCTGCTAAACTCACCTCTTCTGCACCACCTTTACCCCTTACATGCTGTTTTTATGGCAGTTATACTGATAACCTCCTCCCTGCATTCATTTTATAGGTAGTGCTCTAAGAAATGATGGTTTTCCAGTTGCTCCTTGTTAGGTATTCCTTGGAGCTATGAGATTGATGAGCTCTCAGTAAGAATCCCTGTGGGGCTAGAAGTTGGGCAAAAGGAAGTGAAACAAACCATCTCTATTTCTCAAATGACTCCTCTTCATCCTGTAGCAGGGTCTGATGCCTTCATCAAGAAACTCGGGATTCAGCAAGAGACAATTAACCAATTCTTTATGCAGTGGAAAATGGTTTCAAAGAAAGAAGTGAGCAATCATTTAAAATAATTTCATAAGTGAATTTAACCTTTTATATAAATATTTTCTATTGTCAGCATATTTATTCATAATATTATTTCCTAAGAAAAAAATGTGAACCAAAGCTCAGACAAAATAATATAAAGTACAGCTAAATCACCATGACAAGAAGGGACAGAGCAGTAGTTTTGTATTCATTCATCAAATGCTTACAGTCTACTCCTGTTGTTCATACTAGGGAAACACAGAACACTGTTTCATTACTTGATATTAAATTGAAGTATGAGATAAAATCTCTAAAATGGGAATTTTGTAAACAAGATTATATAAGCATATAAAAAAAACTGACTCATAAGACTGAAGGAAACAGGATTAAATTGGTTTTGTAGGAGAACCATGCCAAGTGAAGTAGGATTAGAGTTGGAGAAACATTCATTCATATATATCGATTTTAGATTACTTTGATTTTGGAAAAAAATCATATATGTATATTATCTATTGAAACAATTGTGCTTATTCTAAAAACGCACATTGGTGCAATGAAACTGTATGGCCTACACTAGGAATCAGTGGTGACTATTTCCTTGAGTTGTTGAATGACTGCTTAAAACACCACGATAAGTCTGAAAATCCCAAGGGATTGTCATCAGTTCTTTGGGATATCAGCAAAGAATGTGCTGGCCTGATAGTGTTTTCACATCTCCACAACTCAATAAAGAAAGGTTGGGAAAACTGAAATCAAAGACAAAAAGAGTAAGGAGGAAACAGACCCAAAGCTCTGCGTGAAGATGCGTTGCCCGTTTCACAAAGGCAAGAAGAAAAAGGTTCTCCTAGGTTTCTTTGGATACTTGGGTCTAAAGATGATTTTAATTATTATCAACTTTACGAATTGACACATAATAAAAGTGTGAGGTATGTGTAAACTAGGGCTGAATCAGAATTACAGAGTGTATGTGAAAATTTTCAAGTAGTGTCTATCTCAGATGGAAAATGTACTTTTTTAATTTAATCTTTTAAAATTTCTAAGAATTTCATATATGAGTATCTGCATCATTCCCACACCTCTACCTCCAGCTTCTTCCATGTTCTGCAGCTCATGATATATATATATATATATATCCTGATGAACCTATGTAGTGTGGCTCTTATGTATATATTTTTGGGCTTGACCACTTGCTTGAGATTGGATAACCTATCAGGGGGCTTTTGCCTAAAGAATAGTACGTCTCCGTCTCTTAGGAGTCATTGATGCCTGTAGCCTTTTATTTAGAGGTGGGGCCTTGTAACAGTTCCTCAACCTTGAATGTGCGTGATCTCATCTGCTCTCAGAAGCTAAACAGGGTCAGGTCAGATTAGTACTTGGATGGAATATTTGCCTTTTGTCCTTTCTTTTTTTAAATTATTGAATTTTCATGCATTTCATACAATATATCTTGATTATATTTAGACCTCCCTCCCCTATCTGCATCCCCTGAGCCTCCCCCCAGCCAGATTTCAAACATTCTGTCATACGTGTTAAGGTCTACTTAGTCAAGTTTGTGTCCTCAGTGTCCCTCCATCCAGTGGAGCCTTGTCAACTTATCTAGCATCACTCCCTTAAAGAAGACCAATTCTCCACCACTCAGCAGTAATCAGCTACCAATAGTTCCTCAACTAAGGCTGGGTCTTCTTACCCATTTCCCCACTTGTATGCTGCGTTTGTCTGATTGAGTTTGCATTGGTGTTGTGTATGCTGTCACCAATGCTGTTAAGTTCAACTGAGCAAGTTCTCAGTCACCTGGAAAACTATTTTCTTGTAGTCATCCACTACTCTTGGCTCTTACAGTTTTTCCACCTCCTCTTTTGCAATGGTCCCTGAGCCCTTGGTGGTAGAGGTTTAAATAGGAGTCCTATCCAGGGACACAACACTCTGCAGTATCTTATTCTCTGTTTTGTGAGGAAGTTTTGCTGGTAATAGTTGAGCAATGTATTGATATTCTCTATGTTCTCTATATTCTGCTATGTTCCCTGAGCCTTGGGTGTAGAGATTACATTGTAGTTTTGTCACTTAGGGCTTCTCCCGGACACTTATTCTCTGCATTTGATCAGTTGTGGAACTCTGTAATAGTCTCCATCTGTTGCAAAGAGAAGCTTCTTTGATGAGTAGTGAGAAGTATACTTGTTTGTAAACATAAGGTTATATATTGAACATACAGTTAGAAATTGCATTTGTCTAGGGATGTGACAGACTTAAGTTTTCTCTAGGGTCTATGACTGCTCCATCGTGTGCATTTGGCTCTGTTTACAGTACCACACAAGTTCCTACCCACTGAGTGGGCTTTAAGTTCAATTACATAACTGTTGATTACCCCCAAGATTGAGGGGCCACTACGGCACCAATAGAGGTAGTTTGCTACACCAGTCATTGTTTTCCTTACTAGGCCTTACAGTGAATGGGACTGCTGATTGGATTTCTCCCTTACAAGCTAGCATAGTATCCTCTTACACTATGAGAGCAAATGGAATGTATACTTTTTATGTGCTTTACATCCATAAAACATTTTAACACTCATAAGAATTCTCTGAATGTATCTACTGTCCCATTTCACAAATGAGAAAGACAAGAAGCAACAGGATTAAGTGAATAACTCAAAGCTTAATAAAAAAAAATATGGTAGAGAGAATGATTGAACCATGGAGAAAGACTTCAAAATTCCATTTCTAACTAAAATACTGTTCTATCTCTGGAGTAAAAATGATCTATTACTATTTAGAAACCCTTTTAAGTGTCAGGGATAATGTCACGCACTTCGTATATTCTGTATTCTTTGCTCTTATAGGAGTTTGGAGTTCATTATAGTACTTTAAGGATCGGAAAACTTATACTTCAAGAGATTATTTTCCCAGAATTATATAACTAAATGGTGATAAAACTTGACTATATGTGGACATATTCCCTCTTTGGGGAATGTTCAGATCTTATTCACCTGGGCTACTTCAACCCCCTTTTTTATAAGAAGTGTTATAATTACAGAATCAAAATTTCTTAGAATAGAGTCTACAAATGTGGCATGGAGAGACCTAAGGATGAATCCACATCTCTTTGTATTAGTTTAGAAATATTTACTGTGTATAAATTGGGATGTTCCTATCTTAGAAAGAAGGTATAAAGGAATTAAAAATTGATAGTGGATCAGATAGATGGATGAGCTGGTAAAGGCCCCTGCTGCTCAGCCAGACAAAATGAATTCTATCCACAGGACTCACATGATGGAAGAACACTGATTCCCAAAAGTTGTCCTCTGATTTCCACTGATGCACTGTGGCATGTATACACACACACACACACCCCATATGCACACACTGAATAAACAAATAAATGAAATAAGTTGTTTTAAAGTGGATAGTTACTTGTATAATCCAGATATAAGAGAAAGTATTATTATTATTATTATTATTATTATTATTATTATTATTAGGGGCTGGAGAGATGTCTCAGTGGTTAATAACACCAGTTGTTCTTGCAGAAGACCCTGGTTTGAATCCCAGCACCCACATGGCAGCTAAACCTGTCAGTTACTCTAGTTCCAGGGGATCCGTCAGCCTCTTCTGTCCTCCACAGGCATTGCATGACACGGGTGCACTTACCTACATGCACGCAATACATACATACACATAAAATAAAAGTAAAATATTAAAAAAGAGAAAGCATTAT